AAGATACTTCCCTACCTACCCGACGGATACTTCACCTGAGTACGGAGTATGCAAGTGCGTCCGCACGCAACCTATTCACCTGTTTATTTAATTCCATGGCAATAAATCAAACTGCGGAACCAGACCAGACCAAGTCAGGTGTGGACAATGCGCGACCAGAAGTTGCGAACGTGCCGGCAATGCGATGGAGAAGGAAGGAGCGACATATCACCTTCCCAACAGCAACTTGTAAGGCAAGCGCCAATAGCCTTAGCTTCAGTTGTAAAGGGAGGTATCCGTCAAGGTGGTCGTGGCCGTGGCCAAAACCGTACCTGACCAGGTAACGGAAGCAGGGAAAAGCAGCAGGATCTGGCCCATCCTGCGGTGCTCTTCTTTTGCCTTCCGTCCCTCGTCTCAACCCGTCGGGTCTGGTCCAGCTTGTCGCCCGCTTCCCATCCATCTCAATCACTCCATCCTCGGACAAGTCCTTGCTCTTGGTGTGCCGCTGCTATTATTTGTGTGGTACTGTACAGGTACAAAGCGCACGCAAAACTCCGCACCGAGGTACTGTACATCCGCTTTGTATCTTGGTTTTATATCATGTTTTCGCACGGTGTACTTGACAGCCGTCGCGCCTTCTTTCTCCGCTTGCTACCTACGGCTACGTGCCGGCTTTTTTGCCAATGTCTGAGGTGAGGTGCGGTGGAGTCCCGTGCCCGTGCCTGCTCCTGCCTCCCTCCCTCTTCCAGTCTTCCTTTTGAAGCATCTCGTGCTTTCCTTTCCGTCTACCACCTCATACCTTACCCCACCTTCCCTTCCTCCTGTCACTGTCCACACGGACCATCTCTCGTCCATCAACAGACCCCCAGTCCAATGCTCTCGTCCAAGTTGCCAATTCCTCCCCCTCCACTCTGGCTGCTGATGTGCCTACATAGCAGTGAGAGACCGAGTACTGGCTCGTCAAGCTTCAGCTTCTTACGAATCCCATGTCACCGTCCACTTACACCACTATGCCATTGACAAACTATCATTTGGATCCACGACCTCTTTCTTCAACACCAAACATCACCCATCCATTTGAGGATGGTTCCGCGCATGCACCATTAGCCTGGCATACCCTGCTACTTATACCATCCTTCATACGACACTGATGCGATACCACGGGGCATTGACAGCCTAAGGGAGACGACCTTGTGTACCTATTCGTACATCCAGATGGCAGAGACGTGCAGTGGCACACCTGCTCCGTCCGACTGCACTTGGCCTGGACCAGGCAATTCTTCGTCATCTTCGTGAGCGCTAAGATACTTCCGATACTCCCTACCGCCTGTACACTGGCAAGGGCCCGTTCGCTAGACATGCCGTAGGTACATCGGTCAGACATTGAAGACCAACCGCGCCGTACGGGGAAGACGGAAGTCCAGTAGCCAACGTTGCCTCGACATCTTCAATTCAAGGCAGTAGACTGTAGGATACCTTAGACCTTGGCGGCTCTTCCATTAAGGTAGTCGCCTCTGCTCGGTACAGCATGTCGGATTGTCGATCACAGCAGTTGAAGCTTCTTCTCGCCAACCCTTTGTGGAATTCGAAGCCTCCATGACCTGGATTAGGTCTATGAGACGACATCACTTCCTACGCCATCAAAGTAAACCTTCGCCATAGCAGACAAGCTATACTTCGGACACACTAACATGTCCATCACTTGCACTTCGCTGGGGCTGTGGGTGTTAGTGACCTCATGTCCGTGACGTTGTCTCCTTAGCGTCTTCTGCTGACAAGCCTTCGCAACTTTCGGCTGTTTACCAAGACAACAAGGCTCGGCCGGCTGGATTATGGATAGGTATTGGGAAATCGATGGAGCACCTGTGGTGTAGTGGAGGATTCAAATGTTTGGAGAATGAGGGAACAAACTGACTTACACGCTCACACACTGTGTAAGTGATTGTGCTTCCTGGACGTCGCTGCGCAATTTCATCCACACTAAAACACCACCCGACACACTTTGCGGCATTCCCCCTCTTTAAAGTGGCTTGTCCTATCAACACCCAAGGACATCGCCTCCAAAACGCACCAAAGTCTACAGGTACCGTCGGCTCAGAGTTCTCGACAAACGCTCCGTGTCCGGCTCGCCCTGGGTTGCTGGTCGAAGCGGTTAGACAAGATACATACTGCAGACCCAATGGTGGCTTTCATATGCGGCACAGATTGCAACACCATTTAGCTGAGTTCCGTCGCGAAGCCACCCACCAGCTTCGACGCGACTTAGAGAGCTCTTGAGCCCGAGGGGAGCTTACAGTGACTGACCGCGGCGCCTCTAGACCACTCGCCATCGAGGCATCCACCCACCGTATAATTAGGAATCGTCCTCACCCAAGAAACTGATCCAAACTGCGATTTACTCACAGTCAGGGGCACGTCGTCGGCTGGCGTGCACAGAGGCGTGAACTCAGTATCGGGTGACGAGGCGTGATGCGAAGCAGCGGTACCTCAAGCTGTTGCTTAGGGAGATGCGACATTGGAACGACCGGAAGTCATGATGACTGACTGATGGGGACGACATTCAGGCTGGCCGAAACGGAATCTGGGTACTTGATTCATGCATACGCCCCATGTACCGTCATACGAGATTGCCTTGTACCGCTACTTAGCCCAAGGTACCCCAAACGCGGTCCACCGACTCCGGAATCAGCTTGGGCGAATGCGCCCAATCACCCCTCACGCGCAGCTCACGGTACACTTGGGACCTCCCCAGCCTCCCCTCTGCCGTCGATTCCTTCGTCCTCTATCCGTCTCCGTAGTGTCTATTGTTGGACACCCCGAGAGCAGCCTGCTTCTGCAACGGATGTGGGAACTGGCCGGCTTACTAACAAAATTTGCCCATTGCAGGCTGCGTGGTTGCTCAGTCCTGTTCCAAGTTACCCTCCGCAGTTAGGTGATCGACGAAGAGCTTACTGTGTAGGCACTATTTAGCCACCAGCTATATCCACCAGATTCTATGCTCAAAGCGAGTCTACTGTGTACAGACCACGGCAGTTGGTTTGGTTGAACATGATACATACCATAAGCTTCACCACACGGGATAGCAGTGGAAGAGCCGCGTTACTATTTGCGGAGCTTAACGATTACACGGCGACCGAAGACCGACGGCGAGCGGCGTGTCTATCTCGTCTCTGTTCTACGTCTTCTAACACCGACACACCACGAAGCGGGCAGCAACTAGGCGGTGCAACGCTCCCGGCGTCAAAGAAGGGTGGAATACTTCGTCATGCGCACAAAGTGTGCGGGCGTCGCGTGTACCTCGAGGCACAAGACTGGGTAATGCCTGCAACGAGAATCGAGACGGTCCCCCGCTCCAATGCACCCAACGCGCACCCAAGACGCCCAATGCAGGTTTCCTCTACAAATTGGCAAGCCGGCAGCGCGTTTTGCCCATGGGCCAGACGAGCCGTGTCTGCCCAGGACTCCAGTACGAGGGCGTTGCCGCACCATTTCACCATTCCAGTCAGGGCCGCCGGGCCCAGCCATTTTGCTTTTGCCCGCTTGTTCCCTGTTTGGCTTGGCTGGCACTGGGAAGGCGGTGGTAACGGGCTGGCGAACAAAGTGCGCAAAGTACCGGCGACTTGCAGCGGATACACGGAGCCAGGCAATTACGCTGGTCTGGTTGCCTTTGCTTTGCTGATACTGTGCTGTACCTGGTGGTGCCCCGGCAAAATTTGGCCCTCCCTGACTGAAGACTCTCCCACTTTCTCACTCAATCACTCTCTCCCACACACCACACACACCCCCTCCCAAGCCAAACACTCTTGCTGCTCACGCCTACTGTAGGACCTGCACGCGAGAGGTACATGGGGAGCCGGAGACTGAGGTGTAGTGTAGACTGTGTAGTTCAACGCGAGCCCATGCTCCACTCCTCCTGGGCCTCCTGGCTGATCTGTCGCAGCAGACCCAAAGCTCGACTGACGGGGAGTGCAAAGCTCCCCCCAACTTTCAGTCCCATTTTCCCTTCTTCTTCCCTCTTCTAGACGGACCTTGAGTGACTTTGATTATCTAATCCAGAAAGGCATGATTCTTCCATGGTCACAGGGTATCAAATGGAAACGCGAAACGCGTTGTTCATCTCGACGCTTAAGCTATTCACGCTGTCCGGGACCTCTCGAGTCTTAACACCTTGCGCGTGAAAGTCACCACGAACGAAGAGAATGAGCTCGCTACAACTACGTTGCCAGGCCTCGTGACGCGTTACGGTTCCTCTCCAAGATATTGAAACGCGTTTCATCAAACAAATGTCAATCTTTGCTATCTCATAGTTTCCAGCGATCCAACTACATAGACGGAGCAGCTGATCGAGCTCAAGCATTGGCCACAAGGAGCAGATCTTGGAGCCAAGCTCAGCCACGTGATTCGACATCATCATGGTCATAGCGCCCAAGCTGCCGCTAAGCCCTGTCCAGTTTCGTGAGCCTTCGTGAGTGGTGAGGATCATGTGGAGGCGGCAGGGGCCGAAGGTGAGCTTGCACGGCTTGGAAACCAAAGGTGCCCTCAGGTGGTGCCCTCAGGTGCCGATGCCGTGCCGTACGGATACACTACTATGAGCAACAGTAAACCGATCGTGCGCAGGGCAGGGCAAGCACCGTGATCTGGTAATGCCAACCGTATGGCCCGCCAACCTAGACCGCGGTCACGACTTGACCGAGCCTCTGAGGGCCCGTACCTGCATACAGCCTGCGTAGGGCGGGTTGTAGCGAACGTTTCGAGGTACTGAGGACTTGAGTCTCGGTCCACTTCATTTGACGAGCCCCTCAGAGTGGTGGTAATACGCCGTTGTAATCGGCACCATCACAGAGCCCTGATTCCTGATGTAGTGTGGCCATGGCAAGATAGGCCTATGAGCCCGAGCATGTCTGTACCTGGACTATAGGCGTCTGCCCGCAGCTTCCCACGGCGTTGAGGTGCCTTTGTCCGCCCCTTGCGCATCACGGCCAACGTGAGCTTCTGGTCTGCAAGGTCTCGCAAGCTTTTCATTATTCGTCATCTTCGGGGTCCAGTACTACGTCTCGCAGCGCTTCATCTCTGGACCAGTCCACGCCGCTGCCAACGACCACAGCACTAGCGGTGCCTTTCATCACTTTCCACCGCTGTCTGCTCGCTTTCATCTCGGCTTCAAGTCTGGCCATCTCCGCCTGCACGGCGGGGTCGTCGGTCTCGCCCGCTCTTCTCTTTTCCGCATCCTCGGTGAGCCTGAGGATCTCGGCTGTGAGCTCCACGTTTTTCCGGCCGACTCGTAAGCTCTCGGCTTCCACCTCGGTCAGCTGGTTGACGAGGCTGCGGATGTCTTCTGATTTGTTGGCGAGGGCGACGGAGACGGTGTCGCGGGAGCGGATGTGTGGTAGAAGGTCACTGGTTCATGTTAGTACTCAAATACCAAGTGTAGAAGTAGTTTCACCATGGATAGAATCATGAGAATCTTGTGAGCGTTGAATGGTAAATGAGCGTACGTTTCGATGGGTGTTAACTGCGTGCTCCCATGGACGGCTTTGAGAATGGGGTTGGCAGTCATGACGCTGTCCGTGATATTGTTCCTCAGAAGCCATCCCGCACGCGCCGTCGACGCGTCCTGCTGGGCCTTTTTCACATCGTCTTCTGTACTTGATGTTGTTGAGGCTATTTCTACACATTAGCAATGCGGAGCCTGGCATTGGCGATCGGTTTGATATGGGAAGGTGTACCTGAGACATGGCTCTGTTGCGCCTTTATCAGGGCGACCTTGATCTCGAGGTCGCGAAACTCATCATAAAGAGCAAGGACGCGCTGCTCATCCTTAGAGAGTAAAAGGGTGGGCACTTCGTCGGCTTCGTTTGGTGTCGAAAGGCTTCGATTCGGTGGCTCATCCATGGCCGAAAATGACTTCTACCATCAGATGGCAGAATTCAGGTTTGTATGGGATGAATCCGGTGGCCGAAATGTCATCGCCCCACCTTCCGGACGCGACGTGCGACTCTCACTCAGAATCGCATTCAAAGCTCCCCGAACTCACGGAAACCCGGCGGCCTTGGGTTTCGGATCCGGATGGTATGGTGGAGCTAGGCAGGAACTGGTCAGGAAGGTTGTGGCGGGTGCGGCGCGGAGTGCCTTCCATTTCATGGGTGTCAGCCCCATCCTGGAGCCGTTATCTTATCAGTGGCTGGTGCCCTATGACTGTCCAATCAAATGACTCAAAGCATCACGAGGCGGCGTCACGCTATGCCTTCCAAAGGTTTTTAGTGGGTTTGCAGCCTGCACGAGCTCCGGAGGGCGCCTCAGCGGTCACGTCTTGGAACCTGGCGAACGAACCGCCTTTGCGCTTTTGCAATAACCGACGTTCGGGCATACTTCTGTCTTTCCCTCCGATCCTTCGCAACGACGACTACGACAACGAGCCAAACGGCGATAGCGAGTTCCTTGCGCGCGCGCATCATACGATTTTTTACCGGGCGACGGCCTTTGCCGACTCTAACACATAGCTACGCCAAAACCTTTGAAACTATTGCTGCAAAGACCGGACCGCAGGCTAGCTGTCGCAGCTCATCTTCTCTTCGGAGATGTTCCGGGGATGGCGACGCAGGTGTTGATAGCCCATACGGGCCAGCGCCTGCAGGTGGACACGACACAGTTTTCTGCGTATGTCAGGTTTTGCCTCCTCGTGAGACCGGGAGAAGCAGGCTGACAGTTTCATTCGCAGGCTCGATGACCTCAAAGCCTGGATCGCAAGCCAGACGTCGATTCCGGCGCACCAGGTTGTTGCTTTGACTGCCCAAGGTCGGAGTGTCAAGCTGCAGAGTCTTCACCAGGAGGTACGACATTCTTCTGTCTACTGGTAAGAGACCTTCAAGCTGACCTGCTGGCGCAGACCGAGATCTACATCTACGACATTCGAATATCACAACTAAACTCCCCCAACGCCGCCTCGTCTCCAAAGTCCGAAATCCCTCTTCCTAAGCGCTACGCCGTCCCGAACGCGCCCAACTACATCGGCAATATCCGTGTTCTATCAGAATGGCAGGCCCTCTACAAGGAGCGCCAGGCATGGGCCGGTGGCATCGTAGACGACTCGGCACGTATGACGGCCGAGATTCAGGAGCGGTATAGCGAAATGGACGTCATGGTCAAATGCCTCGATGCGGCCGTGGCCAATCTGGAGATTAGTGTGAAACAGATTGAGCCCAAGTATGCCGAGCTCAAGAAATGGGTAGAACCTGCGCTGGGCGAGTACGAGCAGCTTGCCGAGAACTGGGAGCACTATCTCACCGTCGCGCGTAGTGTGCCCATCTCTGCTGCCATGGTGCGTTTCATGACCTCCAGAGACCTCGAGAAGAAAACGACGACGCTGGAAGACTTGATCGAGATCGACACTGCGAAGAAGTCTGGACGGTTGGCACCGACGTCCTTGAAAAAGTTCACCACCAAGGCGACGGATCTGGAGAAGGCTGCGAAAATGATGTACGCCGGACTTGAGCAGTTGATAGGAGACTTTGACAGTCTTGTTGGTCGTTCGGCGCTGTCGCATAGTGGCGAGGCGCAGCAGTTGCTCCAGGATGTCGAGGCCGTGGCCAAGAAGATAGAGACTGATTACCACATCGTCTTGGAGTACCAGGATACGCAGCCCAACGTCCTTCAAGCCTCGCGGACGGCGGAGAACCACACTTCACGCCTCATTCCAAGCTTGAAGAAACGCTCCGCGGAGATGGATGATATGCTGCTCTATGTCACGCAAGCACGGAACGCGATATCGGCCGATTCTATTAGTTTTATGCGCAACATCACCGAGATCACCACATTACACAGCAGCGTTAAGAATCAAATTAATGTCTTGAACCAGGCCGAGGACGACATGACGACCTTTGACTATTTGCGTCTTATTCACCAGCTCCCGTACATGTACGCCTCTTTCGTCTCCGAAGCCGTCCGTCGCCGAGAGTGGTCCGACAAGATCAAGACGGATTCGTCGACACTGGCCAACGAGATGGCGCTGTTCCAGGACGAGGAGTCAAAGAGACGGAGAAAGTGGCACAAAATGGTCGGCAGCATGTACGGGTCAGATCAGACAGAGGCAAACGTTCTTGGGCTCGAGGTCAACTTGCTCGGCGAAGAGGAAACATGGCCCAGCATGGTCAAGCGAGACCTGGAAGACTTCCTGGAGCACCTCCAGAAGCAACAAGCCGAAGTGGACATCATCGAGGATGTGATGAAACTAGTGAATGAGTTGAGCAGCCCTACAAAGCAGCAGTCGAAAAGGTTGAAGGCCTTCAAGAATGGTAGTGTCCATGAAGCCGCCCTTGGACGAAGTGGATTGATGATCCGTGGGGATGACGAGTTACTACGCAGCCTACAAGACGACAAGTCGAAGCTTGAGAACAAGTTGAAGACGGCGGAGAGCCGCGTTAGAAGACTGGAAGACTTGCTTCATAGACAAAGCGCAGCATCTCGGCCCGGTATTGGGGGCCTGTTCGGACACGAGAGGAATGATTCGACCAACTCCGTCAGGTCGACAGCGACTGTTGATGATCATCGCCGGTCTACAGGAAACTCAGAAGCGCTTTTGCAGAGGATACAGCAGCTCGAGGGTGAACTGAACGCTCGTCGAGCATCTGATCAATCAGAAGCTTTGGCGAAGAGAGTGCAACAACTGGAGAGCGAATTGGAAAAGCGTCAATCGTCCAACGATGCCGAGGTCCAGCAAAGAATACAGCACCTTGAAAGCGAGCTCAATGCCGAAAAGGAGAAATCGGCGGCGTTCGAAAAGGACCTCAGCGTCCGGGCTACAGCGCACGACGACGTCAAGGACCGAATGGAGGAGGCCAACTCTACTAAGAAGGAGCTTCTCGAGAACATGGAAGCCCTGCAGCGGGAATTTGTCGAGGAGCGCAAGTCCCTGGAGAACGAGATTAAGGGACTCAAGGCCCGCATCGAAGACACCGAAGATGAAATTGAGAACTTTGGCGAGTCAAGAGAAAACGAGAAGGCTACCTACATTGAGCGTATGCACGAGCTGGAGGCTGAGGTCGAAAGGCTACAGAAGGAGCAAAAGGACGAGGCCCTCAAGACTCAGGGCCAAGTCGACTTCCTACGCAACGAGGCACGGCTCCAAAGGGAACAAAACGAGTCTCTCGACAAGCAACTGCAGACCGCCAACGAAGAGGCCAAGAAGCTTGCCAAGGTACTGGGCACCACACAGGAGACGGCTGACACACAACTGAAGGCGCTCCGTGACGTTCACGACCAGCTGTCGCCGAACGATGACACCACCGAGGACCTCAATGATCTCATCGACGCACTCATCTACCGGGCTACCGATGTCGCTGCCAACATGAAGACCCTTGAGAGCGATCGATCAATTCTCAAGGCCGATCTGGAACAAGCTGAGGAGCAGATTAAGAATCACAAGGCCACAATCTCTGAAACGAAGAACAAACTTGCGTCTGAGGAGGACAAGTCCCGGCACCTGAAGGAAAATCTGGAGGGAGAAAAGGCTCGTGTAACTGCTCTTGAAAAGGAGGCCGCTGAGGGCCGAGAGCAGCTTGATCAGCTTCGTGCTAAGATTGCCGATGGCGAGACGGGCTCGGAGAGCCTGAGGAAGAAGCTCGACGAGGAAGAAGGACGAATCAGTTCTATCACCGAGGAGCTTGCCTCCAGACAATCCCAAGTCGGCAGCCTCGAGGAAGAGTTGCGACTCTACAAGGAGAAGATGGAGAACTCTCAGTCCAAGCTCTCAGCTGTGCTCGGTCATTTCGAGTCTAGATCTGAAAAGACTAAGGATCTGACGCAGCGTCTTTACTCTCAGAACGACAGATTGTGCCGGCTATTGGAGCGATTGGGCTTCTCGATCACTCGACAGGACGCGACTATGACAATTCAAAAGGTTCCTAGGTCCGAGAGGGGCACCATGAGCCAATACCACACCGCAAACGACTCATCTGATCCCAGTCAGTCCACGATTCGCCGCTCCGGCATGCTCACCAGTCGCACTCTGGCCGATAGCACCGACCTGGAATTGCTGTACTGGATGAATAGCAATGACGCCGATGCAGAGACAGAAAAATACGAAGCTTTCATGACACGGCTGGGCACCTTCGACATGGATCTGTTTGCTGAGACGGTCTACAAGCGCGTCAAGGATGTTGAGCACCTTGCCCGGAAACTTCAGCGAGATGCGCGTGCTTACAGGGAGAAGGCGCACACCCTTCAGCGAGACTCGCACGAAAAGATTGCCTTTAAGCACTTCAAAGAGGGCGACCTCGCTTTGTTCCTGCCCACCCGAAACCAGACGGCTGGCGCATGGGCTGCTTTCAACGTTGGCTTTCCTCACTACTTTTTGCGCGAGACAGATGCCCATCGTCTGCGATCCCGCGAGTGGCTCGTGGCTCGCATTACAAGGGTACAGGAGCGCGTTGTGGATCTTTCAAAGAGCATGCACAAGCAACTCCCTGATACTGACTCGGTCAATGGCGAAGAGGATGACAACCCCTTCCAGCTCTCTGATGGCTTGCGGTGGTACCTGATTGATGCGCACGAGGACAAGCCCGGCGCGCCCGCCACACCTGGATTGGGCAAGTCCACGATCGCGACGAACAATGTCGAGGCCATGGCGGATATGCACACTCACGCGCAGACAAATGGCAAAGACAAGCAGCGCGCCAACACCCATAGCATCGAAGGCGTTAGCAAGGCGCTCAGCAAGAGCCTAGAGAGCCGTCGGAGCAGCTCCAACTCGAAACGAGCCCTTCCCTTTGCTGTAGGTGGCGGTGGTGCGGCACTCCTCAAGGGTAACGCTTTGGGCAGCGAGACGAATTCTCTTCGCGCAGTCGCACCGGATACGCCGACCGAGACGAGCCACCACGAAGAAGGACAGTTGGGATCCTCAACAAATGGACACGAGCAGTCCGGACACGCAGGGCAGGCATCGAGCCCACTTGCGGAAGAGGGTCAGGCCGATAGACCCAGGTCGCCCGAGGTACGAAACATGATCGATTCTCTCGTTGGCCCCTAGACCAGCAAAAAGCCACTTGCGTTTCTGTCTGTGTCTCTTTCTCCCTCTCTCTATCCGAAGTTTAACCCTCTTCTCACTGATTTCGGTCAGAAAGCTCGATCGCCCTTGAGGCTGCAGCGTCAGAGGAGCGGGGTCAGCGTCGAGAGTCCGACGAAGAAGAGTGTGGTTTGGGATTCTCTTTGGAGCGTTGACCTGAGCTATGAGACTGGTGGTGGTGGCGGAGGTGCGAAGAGGAAGTGGGAGGGTCCGGAACGCCGGTAGAGAGAGAGAGAAAGAGAGCAGTGTGGAGTGGTCGGGCTGTGGAGGAATATTGTACGAGCATTACACAATACCCGAAGCCTCCTTTGTGAAGAAAGGGGGGTGTCTCTGAGGAGTTTTTATGCTTTTGTCACCCCGGGGCTGGGGTCCTTTCGCCGACCTGGCATTCATCCTCGGAATGCTGGGTTGTGACAAGTTGTTCTTTGTATTGGTATTTTTAAAGTTGTTGTCAAAGGCAGATGAATGGAAGGGAACGTGGGGGGGCGGCGGCAAGGCATACTGCCGAGGGACGTCGATTGTCACCTTTTAGTGAGAAGAGACCCGAAGGAGGGTGAACGCGAAGCGGACTTGAGGACGGGGTTTCTTTACATCTTTGGGTGCTTTACTCTTGGAACAGGAAGCGAACAAGATGGGATTGTAAAGGATTTTGCATGCATGGCGTGCTTGGGATAGAGGCACCTTAGAGGTATCTTACTTTTGAATACATATGGTGCTCTTGTTTTTTGGTACTTTCTGGGGTCCTGTAAGAAGCGTGCCGTGAGGCTTAGACTGAGCTTGTGGTGATTTTACCATGACCATCATTGTGCCTTTCTAAGGTTCCATGAAGTCTTTAAGTGCCTCACAATGAGTTTCGTCCTACCTGGCATAGTGCTCATGTGTTTGTTTATTTTTAATTAACAATGCTCTAAATGAAGGTGTTGTAAGTCAGGTAACGGGCCAGCCTTACTTACTTGGATGCGATCTCATTGTGTCCACTATCCATTATCTTGTTGTTCTCGAAGTCTTTGAGGGTTTTGCAATGACTTTAATTACTAGTATGATGCTCCCGAGCCCTCATTGTTGGCTTAGTCTTTCTCTTTGCCTCAGAATACAATAAACTCTTTGATGCTTTTGCGTGGTCTCTTTGGTCTTGGGCGCAAAGATGTGCTTGAAATATGAGCAGGCTGTATGATTTCTAAGTACTTGAACGAGAGCAAGGACGACGAAAACACGTCAAACACCGAAGTCATTACACAATTCCAACATAGAAAAATCGATTGCTGGCAATCAAGAAGAGTATACAGAAGAACACGGTCAATGCTAGAGACTTCAACAAGGATCTACGCCAATTCGACAAGCTCCCACAAAGTTCGCTCCACTAGTCACACTCATACCTTAGGCGAACGCCGTACCACCAGAAATATCTAATAGAATGGCTGCCGCCGCCGCTCCCCAACAGTGGGTCGCACCAACAGGAAAGAACGCATATCCCGAGAATCAGGAGATTCTCGGGTGCGGCCCAGACGACGGGGACGTGGATCTCGCGTACAGGATTCTGGGTCTACACAGCAGAGACGACGCCATACCGGCAGTCCGACCGCCGGCTCACGAGTTTGTGCACTGGTGCAATCGTTTGATTGCCAAAATCTGTGAAGAGAGTATCGATTTCCTGCCCGGGTCCGTCGGCCACCGGCGCTTCCTCGAGGCCAGTAGACGGGTCCGGTCGGCCATCCGAACGATTTCCGGGATCCGACGGCCCGGGCACGAAGATTGGCAGATATTCGAGAATACGTGGATCAGTCACTGGAATCCCAATGGCACTTGCGACGATGCGCCGGTTGACTTGACGATTGCCAACTGGGATCAGAATGTGCCTACTCCTGCGACCAAGACTATTTTCGACGCGACGTATGGGCCTGATCGACAGAAGGAAAGGAATGACCGGGCGCGGGATTATCGGAAGATGGGGAAGACGTGGATGGCGACGATGAATATGGTGATGGATGCGCGAGAAAGGGAGGCGGAGGAGTGGCAGGATCTTGTTGCGTGTTATGGGTTTCAGGCCAGGATGGATTTTCAGTTCAAGGGAAACGATTCTGACTTTTTCGAGGTTGAGACTGATGACGAAAACGACGAGGGAGAGAACGATGAGGAGGAGGAAGAGAGTGGAGAGCAAGAAGATGACGCCGAGCAGGAAGAGAACAACGATACGCAGGAAAAGGTCAGAAGTCCAAAGGGGAAGGGCAAAGATCCGAAGTTATACGACATCAATCCACGGCAAAAGAAAGACAATGAGGAGGAGCTCCTTCGCTACACCTTCTTCGCGAGCCCGGTACCGAAGGGCGAGGATAGTCTTTGGTATTCTCTCTCGTAAGTCTCCCCCTCTCCCCCCTTACTTGCTTGTCTCGATCTAGACCGTCATCACTGAGAACACGTTCTAATTCTTATAGCGTCCTTGTCCACAACCGATGTGATCTCGCAAAGACTATCAAGGGCAGACTGGCAAACTGGTTTCATTCCCAGCTATCGGATCCTGCTTCACCCCGATTCCGGATGTACTGTCAACTCCTCGTGGACTCAGCTACGAAAATGCCCAAGAGAGACGAAATCAAGGACTGGGGCCCTCTGGATCTCATACGTTGCCTCAATAGGAACGAGCGGGACGCTGGCCTACCCAAAGAGGCTGCGTACCACGAGATGCTCTACCTCATCGCGGACTACTTCGGTACGGAGGTGATTACCTTTACACGCCCTGACAAACCCCGTGAAACGTTTTCTCCTCCAGGGACGCCAATAGAGGCGGCCGATGACGAGACGAGACAGATTCAGAGCGAAATGGCCAGCCAGGTCCTTCGGGTACTCAGCCCAATGATGAAGCGATCGCACGGGAGAGAATATCCAGTCAAGATCCAGACCCATCAGAACCTTATGCAAACCGTTGGCTGGAGGAAGGAAGACAAGTCTTTAAGATGAGAGTGTATGGAAGCATACCCCGGGAGGGATATATTCTGGACCCTACCAACCAGAAGAGAGAGCAGATCCTCCTCGTTACTGACTCCAAACTAGGCTACTTTCAACCTGTCACGCGAGTAAGTCCCGAACTGCCGTCAGCGGTTCGAGGCGGGCATTATATCGGTACGCGACCTTATAAAATGTGGGAGCGTTGGCCGCCGATGCCGTGGTGGCCGGGGGCTAAATACCATGAGGGCAGTAAGAAATGGGTGGGCGACTGGTCCACGATCGAGGGGCGTAAAAGCATCACCGACAACCAGCAGCTGGAGATGAAGCCAATAAGTATCTGCAGAAACATCCTGGACTCTGTTACCGGGGAACCGATTCAAGGTCGGTATTTTGAAGCACAGCCACCCCGTAACCAGCAATACCGGTCATACCACGACATGCTGCTCACCTATGAAGCTGACACGGACACGAATAGATATGGGGTAATGAATCCCACCATTAACGTCATGAAAACCTGGAGGACTGAGAATCCCCAAGCTGGCCAGGCGGACCCGCCGCTTCTTCGGACACAGTGGAGAGCCCGGACGGGTGGGGCCGATGGCGCAAAGTATCGGTCCAAGGGGCATCTTGAGAGCCGGAAGCGTACGCGCGAGGAGTACGCTGCGAACGAGGGGCTTGGGTATGACGATGATTACGGGTGGTTGAGGATCGAGGCGACAGAGAAGGAGAGCAAGGTGCGGGCTTGGCATGATAAGGCTAAAAGGAGGAAGATGGACTGGTAGTGAGAGGGACTCAAGAGTGGCATTGCTGGGGAAGCTGGTATTTTGGTTTCTAGTTCTTATTCGTATGAGCGTGGATTTGGAGCGTTTTGCATAGCGAATCTTGTGAAATTTCTAGTTTCAGCGAGGTGCTTCGAGTTGAATATTAGAGCAATGATTTGAGGTTTCAAGTAATTTCACAAGAACAATCCGCTCATCGGCAAGCTGATAACTTGCCGTCCGACGCCCTGGTCCGCCAAGGGAAGCGCTCGGAGAGATGACTTGCCATCCCCAAAGTCAGCGGATACTTTTTGATCAGCTTGTCGTAGGACCATCAAGCTGATTTCATTTCGATGCGGCGGTGCGATTCTTTGGCCGCGCGATACCGGCCATCAGCAACACAATTTTTGCAGGGGACGACTGGCTTTATATTCTAACTGGCCATGCCACGAAAAGAAACGTAAATCACAAGTACGTAAATCCGGTACATTCATCAGTGGCTCGGTGCTTTGCAAGATTCGACTAGAGCGATAATTCATTATATCATGTTCTCCGTTTTCCATATACACTTTCTACACGCAGATCACTTAGACGCGCTCATCATTGTGCCTGACTTCTTCCTCAACAACTTCAGAGCCGTCGACAGGATCGGTGATTCCAGTCATCTTGGTGACGATAACGGCGGCAAACAGATCACCGCTAACATTGGTAGCAGTGCGGAATCGATCAATGAACCAGTCAATGGCAACGACAACACCGTACATTCCGCTAGGAGGAATGCCGACGCTCGATGAGATCATGACCGTCAGAACGAGGGATGAGCTGGGGATGGGGGTGGTGCCGATGGAAGCCAGAGTCGACAGCAACAGGATGATGATATAGTCAGCGGCATTGAGAACATGACCCTGCGTCTGTGCGAGGAAGACGACAACGATCGGGAAGTAGATGGCCGTTCCGTCCATGTTGACAAGGCAACCCAGGGGCACAGCGAATTTGGTGACCGTCTCGGGAACTTTGAGCGTCTGACGGCAGCACTTCATGGTGACGGCGAGGGTCGCTGCAGAGGACGCGGTTCCCCAAGCCGTCAGCCAGGCGGGCGAGCACTTGAACCAGAGGGTGTATGGGTTCTGGCGGGTGAAGGCGAAGAAAATGAGGGGTAGGATGACGAAGAGGTGCAAGAACATGGAGCTGATGGCGCCGCCCATCAAGATGCCGAGGTTCACGCCGATATCGTTGATGTCTAGCTTGAACATGTTTGGCAGAATCAGGAAGAAGACGCCGATGGGGGCGAGCTTGATGAGGAAGGTGATGATGATCATGATGAGTGCCTCGACCTCACGCGCCGCTTTGATGAGGGAAGATTGACCGTCGCGGTTGTCGATGAGGTAGCCGATCACGACGGCACTGACAAGCACGGCGAGGAGGTGATCCGAGGCGAGGGCGTCGACGACGTTGGCCGGGATGAGGGAGTTGAAGAGCTCGGTGACGGTGGCGGGGATGTCTTGGTCTTTCCTCTCCTCATAAGACTCCTGGTCCTTCTCGGACATCGAGCCTGTGGCGATGGACTCTGCGGAGGCGACTGTCATGAGACGGGCCCAGACTTGGGAGGTCATGATGATGGAGTGGACGATGGCTACGATGGTTGTGATGACGTAGTAGCCGATTGTCCACTTGGCGAGCTTGGCGCCGCCGTGGGAAATTTCTTTGAGCTTTTGGACGGCGAGAACCATTGCTGTTACGATGAGGGGCAGAACTGGGAGTTATCGTCAGCTCAGGTTGTTTGTTGCCCAGGAAACGAGGTTCAACATACCAACAGCTTTCAGAGACCGCAACCAGAGGTTACCCGGGATGATGAGAATGGTTGTCGCGGCTTCGGGGATATCTGGGTGCGAGGTCTTGACGCCCAAACCGATACCGACAGCGATGGCGGCGGCGATGATGATCTGAATGGCGGAACCAGGCTCGATGACCGGATGCCACCACGGCTTCTTCTCGTGGACCGAGACCTCCGATGTGACAGAGGTCTGACGCTGGACCTGATCCATCGAGGAGTTCGAGTTCTCTCGTACGGCCTTATCGGCCGTGCCATACTCTGACTTCTCCATCTTGGGCTAGCTTTTGGACGGAGGTGAGGGTATCTCTAGATATTGACGAAACAACGGGGTTGCCTGGAGACGGAGCCACAAGATACTGTAGAACAAGCCGTACCAAGATCGCTGCCACTCTGAGAGGAGAGAAAGAAGAGAGGAGAAAAAGTTCTATCGACCCTGATCGGCGACGCGAGCGAGGGATATATACGTGAAGAACACCTGGTTCGTGGGTCAAGCTGATTCTGGGTTGCACCAAGAGTCTTGTCTATCAGTATGGCGAGCAGGGGCCGGCTAGCCTACGATGCCAAAGCTCGAGCCGGCCACATCTTGGGAAGGGGGCGAATGAAAGAAAGCTCGCGTGGGCGATTCTGCTGGGAACTGGAGGGTGCGCCAGGCCATCAGGATGGAGATTCCACCAAGGACGAGATAGGGCACGCGTATCTCTCACCCGCCAAGAAGGATATCAGAGCTGGGGGATGGCTCAGCGGCTGGCATCTTTCACGCGAAAGGAAGGTGTAAGAGGATCCATTCCATCCCCGCGTTACCCACCAGTCGCTCGTCGATGAAGGAGGGATGGACATTAGTGTCTTGGTCAATCCACGGGTCTGGATCGAGACTGCAAGTCTCGTACACGCTGACGAGCTGACGAGCTGACGAGCAAGGGACTGGAAGGGTCACCGGCCGCTGGCGCAAGACCTTGGGGAACGAGAAGGAAGTTGGACAGCGCAGGCGCGTGTGTGACAGGGATGGGATGGGGTTGAACATTTCGGCGCGGCATTGGCAGAGGCAAGGTTGAGTGGAATAGTGGGCTGAACAGGAGAACTTTTCTGGATCATCCAAAGCATTGATACCGGACGACAAGAGATAGGGCAATGAAGCTTGACTGGCCGAGTCAGTTCGTCATGTCGGGATGGTCGTCTGGGTATTGGCCTTGGCTGGAAACACAACTTGGCGGTGACGACGGGGCTTTGATGGTGTTGTTCATCAAATGGTATACAGGTGTTTTGCGTGAGTATCAAATGCCTGTGGTGCAAAGAGCCTCATATCCGGCTCGCAACGTCGCAACTTCCAGTAATCACTCGTCGCGTTGTCGCAGACACTTCGGTTGATCCAGCTCGAATCTCTCTTGCAAGCTTCCATATCAGGTTCACTCCACAAACCGTGGGTCTCATCGTCTCCCCATCTTGACAGTTGACAATGACAGCTCTGCCAAAGGCCCAAGCTTGGTCTCCAGTTTGCAATCGCGTTGTCAGCCAGCAAGAACGGAAAGCAAAAGGATTCGGCGCGTCCAAGAATACCAAGACTCGTTACCAAGGTGCCCAGGGTGATTGCGCCCCGGTTGGCATCCGTCAGACATGACTCTCGGGCGACGTTGGTACGACCGCGGCCTCCGCCCATTGGTCCGCCACGGCGAATGCCGTGCCGCGCCGAGCATTGCCGAGAGGCTCGGCGGGGGAGCGCGAGGACGAGGGTGAAGGGTCGGGTATGGGGCTCCGAGAAATTTGATTTGGGGTTGGGGAGGAGAGGGACTGTCGCAGTGTTGAACGAGAAAAAAAAGTCTTTGCCGTGGCGCCGGAGCTCGTTTGCCTTCGACATTCCACCCACCTCCGCTTGTGAGTTCCGCCGGAAGCCACGCATAGCCATACAAAAGCGTTGACTTAAACCGGTGGTCGGCAGATCACCGTCGCGTGCTCCCTTTTGCTAACATAGGGCGCGGAGTGATGCTTGGCCGCTCCACGCCGGTCCGGAGGCAGATACCCTGGTTAATGTCTGTTTATTACGTACAGTGTACAGGGTACCAGTGTGGGTAGCCGAGCACTGAGTGCTTTCGGGAAGACTAAGAAGCCAGCTTGAAGTCTGAAATATTGCCGGGGACCAGAACGTCTGACCACTGACATTCGAGATGTTCAGTCCGTCATCTTACTACAGGGAATTTGACAGATAATATTCGCTCTTGAGGTGGCAAAGGCCTGTTTATTGTCCTTTAGGAATGTCTTGATTATCTCCTCAAGGGCATTCGGGAGGCGATGAACTCGAACGAGCCGAGTTCTGGCGTGTGCAGGTCGAGCACGCCGCTCTGGGTCTGGGGAGCAGGCGGTGGGGAGCTTGGGGTCCTTTGCTGCTGCCGGGAAGCTCTGAGTGGCCCCATCTCCCACAATAAGAAGGGATTTCAATGAAACACAAGGATCAAGCTACTCCTCCAGCCTCAGGGGATTCCGTTAAAGAAGGTGAGGTATATGGCGGGTTCCTAGCAGGTACAGGCTTGGAAGCGGTGTAATCCATGTTGGCGTGGAGAGCCGGGGGCTGGGGGCAACCAAGCAAGAGACTCGGCGAGAGCCTCTAGGTAGCAGGAGCCTCGAATTATGTTCAAACAGACGCGAGATCAGGTTGTGATGCAAGCCACACTGCGAAAGGCTGTGGAAAGTGGACGGCTTATGCAGAGCATTATCATGTTCTAGCGACTAGTAGTTTCTGAAGTCCAAACACTCTGCCAAGCTGGATCACATCAAAACGCGCCGATGACACACCAATGTATTTAATGTACGACTTGCAGATAGCTGCTGTGCTTCTATACCCTGCTGAGAGAGTGACATGAGGAGGCTGCGGGAAACAGAACAATGTTCGTGCTACTAAGTCAACAAATATCAAAGTTGAAAGCCCCGGTAAGACGCGAGCCAGCGCGATGATCCCAAATGAAAGACAAGAGCAAGTAGACAACTTTATATCCGAATTCCGCGTCAAGCTGTTCGATAACATCGTATGAAATTCGTCTCACAAAGATTCCGAATAAAGAAGAACATCCCCAGGCGACAGTATAGGTAGAAAAGGCTCAGCACCGTGCAGTCATCGATCTAAACATGAGCTAACCTGATAAGCACTGCAATTCAAGAAGGCTGCTTCGTAACCCTTGAGCAGACGCCTCAAGCCTTTGCCGTCGAGCGATTTCCTTCTCCGGCTCCGATCCAATGCGCAGTAGCTCATCGTCAGAGAATTGCGAGACTGTCGTGGGGTAGAAAATCTCTGGTAGCGGAGCCAAGATGTGGCGTTCAATGACTTGTCTACATACGTTGTCCACGAATGTCTTTATCGCAACCTGAGAGATACTATCAGTGTCTTGAGCAGAGAGAACACAAGGGGGCTTTGAGTGCGTGCCTTGTAGTAAGCATTGAGACCTGCGAGAGCCTCCTCACATGCTTGCTGATCCATATCGACGCAGAGCTTGGGTTGCAACTCTTCAACGAGAAGCTTTCTGTCATTAGCATCGCAAGGACTAAAATTGCGCCCGCCTACCATAGCGAGCGAGTCCTCCAGCAGGTCTTTCTGTGATGCGTTGCGCGCCTTTTGGATGTTGTCGGTGTAATAGTGATTGTAAGTAATTGGATGACGGTCCTCGTCCAAGAATATTTTCTCAAGCTCCTTGAACGCAGTCTTCCTAGAAAGCTCTAGCTGCTCCTGACAGAAACTGGTGATGTCTCTGCGCAGGCGATCCTCATGGAAAAGCGTACCCACCGCTTCACGGATCCATTTTGAGACACACTCTAGAACAGTGGAAACATGGTCTTTTGCGAGATTGCGCCACGGACTGGAGTGCTCGTGGAAAAGCTCAGCGAGTAAGATGTGGTTGTAGTTGCCAGGGAGCTCACGACCTCTGGTTTCGATGTAAGTCTGATCACAATTAGCCCTTTTGGCTTTGTTACAGGAATAATGCCGTAGATCAAAGGCTTACCTCCCGGATCCAGGAGACCATCTCAGTTTGTGTCACAAGAAGCTGGCCGCTCTTATCGCTAGAACCATCCTCTGACCGGGGCGTAGGCGGGCTGTCGGTAATTTTGCGCTTGTGACCTTGTTCACGGACCTTCGCTGCAAAAGCGCCGTTCCGCTGATGAACCAAGGAGCGGAGCCTGCTTCCATTCTTTTTCTTGAAGAAGGCGGCTTCAGAGCAGTGATAGTTCCCGTCTAGAGCCGCCTGAGCTAGCTGATAGTAGCGCATGCTGAGGTTGGTCATGAAAGATCGAATGTCGGCGAGGGACCGCCGTTCAGGACCCATGTCTTCGAGATCCTTTTCAAACAAATCAAGTTTGCGTCTGATTTCATCCTTCAGTTTGGGCAGCTCCCCCTCGAGGTGCTCATCCAAGAGCTCTTGCAAGAAAACCTTCAGATTCTCAATGCCAACTCGGCTCATGTCAAGGTCCTGAGCCTTCCAGGCTGGTGAAGAGAAGAAGTTCATCTCCCGCTCTGCGCGCTTGTTGTTGCCACTGTCGGCCTTCATTTCAGATGGACTAGGGTTCTTGAGAAGGAAGAAGCCGAGTTTGAGCTTGATAGCGTCCTTGTTCTTGGCAATGTTGGCAAGCTTGGCCTCAGCTCCAGCATTGATGAGATCAGGTTTGGTGATTATACCGACAGTCCGCTGTCCATCTGGGTCATACTCGCGGGCAATTCTGATTATACCTTGATTGGCAAAGTCATTGCTTGCCTGAACCACAGCGAGAATAATGGTTCGGGTGCTCTTGAGGTAGCTCCGCACCATAGCATGGACAGCCTCCACATCGGCTTGAGACTGTTCTTCGTTGGAGACCGAAATAAGGCCAGGAAGGTCTACAATACTCAGTTGCAATCCCGTGGGGCCCGAAATCTCTATGCGCAAAGCATCAGATGCAAATGCGGCATCATCAGGCGAGTCGGTAAAGCCGCGTATACCCATAAGTTTGGAGACCTCCTCAATGGCGACGGGAAGGTCGGAGAGGTCTTCTTCCATCTCGCGCTCATAATTGCCGAGAGTCTGTGCAATTCCAGGCGGGCGAGAGGAGTGAGGCCGAATAGTGGCCTTCGCCTTGAATAGCTCACTGGAGTGCCGGAGAACAATCTCCGTGGGAAATCGGGTACAGAGGCCTTCTTGACGAGGGAAAGGTATGCCAGTAATGCCCTCTAGCACCGAGCTTTTGCCTGCGGATTGGTCGCCGCAGACGACAAGTTGAGGCAAGTCAACCAAATCACCAATACCATTGGCACGAAGTTTCTCGATCTGGTTGAGGCGATGGGTAGATCTCTGAGATCGTAGCCCGAGGGATGGGGCCGTAGGTTTAATCAGGCTAGAGACGGCCATTTTCGTTGTTTAAATGGATATCGTGGAAATTTGTAGTTGTAGGGTCAAGCAGGTAGGCACGTTCAAGTCGATTGAGATGAAGTTGGCGTTCAAAAGAGGAAAGATAGGTGTATTCCCGCTGCCTAAATATCTGCATGGCTTCCAACATGTGCAATTGCTTTACGAGCAGAATTTCACATGTGTTTACGTGCGAGCTGCGGCCTTGTAGGCCTCAATTGAAATAACTAGCGGACAACGAACCCATGGGTCTGTCTAGACTGGAAAGAGAGTTAAGTTTTGGGAGCGAACCTGATTATGCAGTCACGAGGTAAAATCAACCGCACCCATCTTATCTGTCGAAAGCAAATTGCTGAACGCAACGGTACGCATATTTCATTGGCAATAGCTGATACATTCATGGAACAGGTAAAGCAATATTCAACTTCGAGTTTGCTCCAAGGTATGAATCTGCGTGTAGATGACGCAATGCCCAACGGATATACGTTCTTGCATGTGATGACTTGCTCGCAGACGTAAGACGGGACGCTCATGTTGATCGGTCAAAGTTTGCGTACGTTTGTTCGTCACATGTTTGCGTTGACAGATTTTGGTTAGGAGGAAGCAGTCCCTCGATCACTTGCCGAACTGGCGCAACTTAGAACCAGGATCTCTAACTGGGACGACAGGCGAGTAGCATTCAGGCATAAATGACCATTGCTATAGGTATGTACATGGAAGACATGTCTCTATCGGTTGGATATCGCTGGATCCCAGTCTAAGGCGTAGGTTCTGGTTCTGAGACTTGATATCGGCTTGCCTTTGCCGGGATCGAGAGACACATACTCAAGAGTTGCTTGGTCATGGGGCATGATGAAAGATGCCTCAACAAACTGAAAACAGCCTCCGTGAGGCTTAAGAAATGGATACAGGAAGTTAAAATTGGATGTTCGAGAGGGCAATACAAAGTATCACACAGCTGTTTGTGTTATCCCGCTATCACTGATTTGCCTTCCCGCATCATGTCCGAAAGACTGTCGTGTGTTAATAAGCTCGTCTGTCGTGGGTTGTGATGGGATCATCCGATGATAAGGTTCTCAGTGTCTTTACTTTGGAGGCCTACCCGAGCTAAACTGTAGTCGAAATTCTATCTCAAAAGGTGAAATAGGCTTCAACCTTCAACCTGATTACGTGGAAAAAAGCGCATACGTAGCTCTGAGATCTGAGATTTGAGCTCCGAAACGACTCAATCTCAGACTCAGTTCCACGGACAGAGACGAAGGCGCGACAAGCTACATAGGCCAATCCCCACAAGGACAGAGCCTAAATCGGCGTATTGCTCGAAGTTGAAGGGGCTGCGTGGAGTATGTACAAGAATCCAACGTTGTGATACAGCCAAGCTGAACGTGTCTAATATCTGGTTCGCCAGATTGGGTAAAAAGGTGTTGCGATAACTTTTAGATGTGAAATTAAGCATTCCGTTCACTCGTAGTGCCATTGACCTTTTCCTTAACTTGAGCATTGATCCTCTTCATCTCCCGTGCCAAAGGGAGAAAGTCGCTTTCCTGCTGCGTCGCCGTCTCGATACCTTGGGCGACGCGATCTAGCAATTGTAGGTCCCCAATCATGTCGCCAGGGTTGGGGGCATTCATGGCGTTGCTCGCCAGATGGGCATAGGCGGTGTGTGCTCTGTATGCACCAAGGATGTACGAGATTGTTTCCGCCGCGGGAAACTTCCAAACGTGGAGCATGTTGTACGTCAGGTCGAGGATGCGACGCGAGGCTCGGGTTGAGAAATCTGTTCTGGGCACGTTGTTGTCGGTGCAGACCGGTACAGGGGAGTTTGATTTCAGGAGGGTCGCCTTTCGCAACATGAAGATGATGGAGGTGTAGCCGGTCAAAACCAGACTTGCCAAAATCCACAGATCCATGTGGTCGTCACTTGATCGTTCGATCCAGTCTTCCTGTGGTAGTGTTAACGAATTCGAACCACATCGGATAGAGCAGCGCGACAGGTTGTGAGGTCGACTTACGATTCCCCATTCATCAAACAATATCTCAATCTCGTGGCACAGAGGCTCGATTGCTTCGACAGCTTCTGACTCGTTCTCAAGTCCTTCAAGCGTCTGGAAGAAGCGAATAAGAATGAATGCAAGTCGGCTGCGGAAGAGGAATGATATCGTCGACACTTGGGCACCCTTTTCCGGGGGTAGGTCGAGTGACAGCCATGGCAAGTTTACTTGCCACTTATCGAGGCTCGGATAGAGAGTCGCCGGCTTGTTGTAGATCAAGTGGTAGAAGAGGTCCGTTTGGATGAGTTCCCACATGCCCTTGCGATCCTCGTCGGTGCTGGGGCAACCGGTGGCTACAAAGTAGTCATTACTGTCAAGACTGTGCATCTGGAGACCTTTGGCGTACTCGCAAGCCAATTGGTGCATTTCCAGACTCATTTCGAAGTCATAGGATTCTGTTGCAATGCCGGTCTATCGAGCCAGTTAGCGACTGTGACCGTGGCACGTGAGACGAGTACAAGGAGGCTAAAGAGTAACATACCATGAAGATAGCAGCAATGAAATCGGTGATAGAACCAGTGGCTTCCTTCTGCCAGCATGGCATAGTCCTGAGACAGCACAGGTAGAGCTTCCGCGCGTATCTGCCATCTGGACTGTGGAAAGACCTCGTGTTCAGAATGTAGCATCCCCGCCACAATATGACATAGTAAATGATGAGGATGCAGGGGTCGAGGGTGACATGCCTCATCAGGAGCATGTCTGGTATTAATTCGATAGTTTTCCTATCCACAAGACTGAGAAACGTCTCAGTGGGACTGTAGGTGAAGTAATCTAACATGACTGTCAGTATCGCTGAGGTTCTGAGTTCGTAAAATTCTTACTGTGAATCCAGGTTCGTGCCTTATCAAGAGAAATGTCGATACCCTCGGTTGCAATGGTGTTGTGGCCCATGGTACGTCGAAGTCTTTGGTCTCGCACACGATCGAACGTGTCACCGAGAGTTGCAGCAACGTCCAGCACTGCGGGATGGCGCGAAGCTTCAGATCCATGTGGCCTAAGAGATGGTACTATGTCTCGCTCATGATAGGGTGTATTCCTTGAATCGACCCTGGATGGTGGACTGGGAGGTGAAGCCGAGTGGCTCGATCCATCCTGGGCCGGTGGTGAGTAGGGCTCTGGGGAGCCACACTCGTCAGAAGCTTGTCGATGATCTGATCTTGACGCGGTAGGGTTAGCACTTGACGCTGAACGATTGTTCTCAATGCGTTCTAAACGGTCAAGGATGAGTGAAAGAGTAGCATTATCGTTGCCACTGAGGGTTTCAGCGTCAGTGCTTTCAGCAAGTGGCCTGAATTGGATGAGAGCTTGAAGTTAGGCTCACCTCGGGTGATCGGCCTCCCTCTTGGTACGTTTCCTAGGCCTCCTCTGAGGGTACTGGCATGAAAGGTTGAGTGTACTACATCGCTCACAAGTAGGTGTGTCACGACTACATCTAAGCTGGGAGGTATAAGCATGATGCAGGTTGCAAGCGGACTGAAGGCACAACGTACCTTTTTGCTGCGGCAATTCGTACACTACCAATGAAATGTAAGTCCTATGCCATCAGACTAATAAGAGCACCCAGATCTGCAGGGGCATGCCTCAAAGGATCGCCTGATGAGAATTCTCAGGCAAGCAGAGCTTAGGATTCTCGAATTGAAATTGATGGAAAATGCGGGCTTACCGAAAGGCCGTTCACAACCACAACTTCTTGCCGCTCCATGGGCACCGGGGTCCCGAATCTACAGCGCGCGGAATGCCAAGACTGTATTTCTAGATGGGCTTTGGATAGAGAATACAGATGACAGAGCCGCAACTGGCTCGGAGTATTCAAGGGTTTCAGTGCATACGGACGCACCGATCAGCTTTTGTTGTCGGAGATGGGGGAAACCGGATGACACGCGCCAGCGCCTTACGGGCCTCAAAACTGCAAGTCAACGTAGGCTAGGTAGGGTTCTCCACACAAGATCTCACTTCAGAGTCATGAACGGTGTGCATCTTGGCGTAATTATGGCTGGAGATGTTTCTCGGAAGAAATGATACAGTGACCGCGGACTGCCACGAGCTTGGCTTCGTCTAATGGACCTTCCCCCAATTGGGACCGCCAGCGGCGCTCTTCCCATCCTTGGCAGCTCTGACGTGCCGCGGTTCTCGTCTCTGAGTGGAAGATGGGCTCATCTGACCCACTTAACCGGCCTTTCGCATTTTCCGAAAGTGCGGCGTCGTCTCCAGCGCGCTCCTTCCCGGCCGTGGTCGGTTCGCCGGAACACCTTCCGGATCGACGACGCCCAAAGGCATTTCGCACTTTCCGAGAAAAACAACCTGCAACTTCTCCACCAGCACACAATTGTGGATGGAACTCAATTCGAATTTCGAACACAGTCATGGATACTCTCTCAATTTCTCTCTTCACAAGACAAAGAGCCTGTTCAATGTCGACGGTACATAAGCCCGGAGACCTTCTTGATGATCTAACGTGGAAAAGGCATGACTGGAGACTCATTACACGATCTACATTGCCAACTTTTTTTTTTAACACATATACTCTGACGACAAAACAACCCGAATCACATCTCCCAACTGAAAGTCAGAGGTGCCAAAGTCTGTCTTCCATCAGAGAAGGGTTGCAAAATGCCGGCACCTGCGATCTTGGACCCCGGTCCTCATGTGAATGAGCCCCATGCATCCACATTCGACGGTATCAGAAGCATCCCGATCTCATCAGATGCCGAGGAGGAAGCCGAAGAAGAAATCCACGACTTGGCTAGACGTCTAACTTCAGCGTCCCATGGAGGAGGGCATTCCCTGTTTCCTGAGCCATCCGACGCCACACTCGACCCAAAGAGCGACAAGTTCGATGCTCGAAGATGGGCCGCAGCTTTCTATAGGCTCCAGACCAATGCCCTTCTCGGAAATGCACCCAATACGGTAGGCCTTGCTTTTCGGGACTTGCAAGTCTATGGCCTGGGAACGACTACGGACTATCAGAAGACTGTTGGCAACTTCTTTCTAGAGGCTGCCGCCTTGACCTCCTGGTTTTCGTCCTCGGGAAAAAAGCAGCGCATCGACATTTTGCACGACTTGGAGGGCGTCATTCAAAGTGGAGAGATGCTTGCGGTGCTTGGTCCACCCGGCTCTGGTTGTACGACGTTGCTCAAGACTATCGCTGGCGAGACCCACGGTTTCTATATCGCCGATGGAGCAACTATTAACTATCAAGGCATCTCCCCGAAGGAGATGAAAACGACATTCAAAGGAGAAGCAATCTACACCGCAGAATTCGACCATCACTTTCCCTACCTAACTGTCGGCGAAACCCTCTACTTTGCGGCCCGGGCACGGTGCCCCCAGAATATGGATCTTCCCCATGGGATCTCCGAGCACCAATACGCGGAGCACCTTCGTGACGTTGTCATGGCACTTTTGGGTATCTCGCACACAAAAGAAACGCGGGTGGGAGACGACTTTTTCCGTGGTGAGTAGCTCAAGTTTTGACAACTTTAAGGTAACCTCAACTAAATCTGCATAGGCGTCAGCGGAGGCGAGCGGAAGAGGGTCAGCATCGCAGAAGCCGTTCTGAGCTATTCCCCCCTCCAATGTTGGGATAATAGCACTCGAGGTCTCGATTCTGCCAATGCAATCGAATTTTGCCGAACCCTTCGCATGCAGGCAGACATTTTCGGTTGCAGCTCCTCTGTGGCTATTTACCAAGCACCCCAAGAAGCCTATGAAGTAAGTTGTATCTCTTGTTCCCCTGCTATGCCATTTTCATCGCCAATGCCTATCTTCGCCGCTGGTGTGTTTCGTTGCTCATCATATGGACAGCTTTTTGACAAGGTCATCGTTCTTTACGAAGGCCGTCAGATCTTCTTTGGGAGGTCCACCGATGCGAAAGCCTATTTTGAAGAACTTGGTTTCCTGTGTCCGGAGCAGAAAACCACTGCTGACTTCCTGACTTCAATGACAAGCTCTTCCGAGAGAATTGTGCACCCCGAGTGGAGAGGCCGGACACCGCCGCGGAGTCCTGAAGAGTTTGCTCAAGCCTGGAAGGATAGTCAGAACCGCCGGAACTTGTTGAAGGAGATCGATTCATTCGAGCAGCAGTATCCTTTTGGCGGAGATACGCACAAGCAGTTCTCGGCCACTCGAAGAGCGCATCAGTCCAAAGCGCAGCGATCATCGTCACCATACACGTTGTCCTACGTGCAGCAAATCAGCTTGAATATTTGGCGCAGCTTCAAGCTGCTGATTAGTGAGCCGTGGATGACGATCACAATGTTGACGACAAATTTCTTCGAGTCTCTTATCATCTCTAGCATCTTCTACAACTTGGCACCAAACTCTTCCAGTCTCTACAACCGAAATCTCCTGATATTCTACACCATCCTCATCAACGCTATGGGTAGCATTATGGAGATTCTCACGCTTTATGGAAAGAGAAAGATCATCGAGAAACATGCCAGATACGCACTCTATCATCCAAGTGCCGAGGCAGTTGCCGCAATGCTCGTCGACTTACCGTACAAGATGATCAACGCGTTGTTCATCAATGTGCCAATCTATTTTATGACGAATTTGCGACGCGACTCAGCCGGGCACTTTTTCTTTTTCCTATTATTCTCCTTTATCATCACGGTCTCCATGTCCATGATCTTTCGGTTCCTAGGCTCCGTTACCAAGACGACCTCGCAAGCTCTGGCGCCCTCAGCAATTATTCTGCTGGCACTGATGCTGTTTAGCGGCTTTGCCATGCCTCAGCCATACCTCAGCGACTGGATTGGATGGATTCGCTGGATCAATCCCGTCTTTTACGCCCAGGAAGGTCTCGCACTAAACGAATTTATTGGACGGAACTTCACCTGCTCGCAGTTTGTCCCGACAGGAACCGGTTACGCAACTTCTACCTTGGATGAGCGTGTCTGTGATATTGGTGGAGCGATGCCGGGCTCCAATTCCGTGAATGGTGAAGAGCACCTCCGAGTGGTCTATGGGTTCCTGGCCGGCCATCGCTGGAGGAATTTTGGCATCTTGGTTGCCATCACCATCTTCTTCATGTCCCTCTATCTTGTCGCCGTCGAGCTGGTGTCATCTGAGAGATCCAAGGGCGAAGTTCTACTTTTCAAGCGTAGGGCGCTGAAGAGTGCCAAGAAAGGTCATGATGATATCGAGACTTTGGGAGGAAATACGTCGCAACCAACGGTACAGGTAGATGACGACAGCGACAACTCAGACCTCGCGAAGCAAACGTCTGTGTTTCACTGGAATGACGTCTGCTACGATGTGCAAGTCAAAGGCGAGACCCGCAGGATCCTTGATCACTGTGACGGTTGGGTGAAGCCCGGGACGCTGACGGCACTGATGGTGGGTTCCTGCCTTATTGCCAATTGGTTGCGAGACATAGCTAACATGCGTATCATCACAGGGAGTTTCAGGAGCTGGTAAGACGAGTCTTCTGGATGTCCTGGCCAGTCGTGTGACCATGGGTGTTGTCAGTGGAGAGATGCTCGTCGATGGGCAGCTCAGGGACTCTTCGTTCCAGCGCAAGACGGGATACGTCACACAGCAGGACCTTCACCTCCACACGGCGACCGTAAGGGAGGCATTGAGTTTTAGTGCTCTACTACGACAACCTAAGCGATACAGCCGGGAGGAGAAGTTGGCCTACGTTGACACAGTGATTGATCTCCTCGGCATGCAGGAGTATGCAGAAGCTGTGATTGGGGACCTAGGTGAGGGGCTGAATGTTGAACAACGGAAACGTTTGACCATTGGAGTAGAGCTAGCTGCCCGGCCGCAGCTCCTGCTCTTCCTGGACGAACCAACATCAGGTCTCGATAGTCAGACATCGTGGTCAATCTGTGATTTGATGGAGAAGCTGACGAGAAACGGGCAAGCGATTCTCTGCACAATTCATCAACCATCAGCATCGCTATTCCAGCGGTTCGATCGGTTGTTGTTGCTTGCCAGAGGTGGACGGACGGTATACTTCGGCGACATTGGCAAGAACTCACACGTTCTCATCGATTATCTCAGCCGGCACGGAGCTCCAGCCTACCAGCCTGGATCCAACCCTGCTGAGTACATGCTGGAGGTGATTGGGGCGGCGCCGAAGGCGCATACCGATATCGACTGGCCTGCCATATGGAGGGAAAGCAACGAATACCAGGCCGTTCAGACTGAGCTTGCGAGGTTATCCTCACATGCAAACGAGAAAGGTGCCACATCTACGACAGCAGATCACGATGGGTCTACGTACGCAGAGTTCGCTGCAGGTTTTGGTGTGCAAATACAAGAGGTGACGAGACGAGTCTTCCAGCAGTACTGGCGCAGTCCTTCGTACATCTTTTCCAAGTCCATCCTGACGTTTGGTTCGGTAAGTGCTATTTGTATTGCATTGAATCAAGTACGCCGTGAGAATCAGGAAAGCTGACTGACGCGGATAGGCCTTGTTCATTGGGCTTACACTCCTCGGCGGCAATAATACAGAACGCGGCCTCCGGAATCAGATGTTCGGCGTCTACATATTCCTCTTCATCTTCAGTCAGATGGTGCAGCAGATCATGCCGGTTTTCGTCTCTCAGCGCACCATGTACGAAGCCCGCGAGCGGCCGGCGAAATCGTATTCATGGATGGCATTTATGGGTGCTAACGTTATCGTCGAGATGTTTTGGAACTCTGTAAGTGAACACTAGCAGCGACACAAAACCCTTACCCCCACGCAAAACTCGAAACTGACAATTTGGCGGCTAGATCATGGCCATCTTCTCGTTCCTGTTTTGGTTTTATCCGATGAGACTCGATCGCAACGCCGAATGGACAAATTCCGTTCACTCGCGCGGTATCACGCTTTTTCTCATCTGCTGGGTTTTCTTTTTATTCTCGAGCACGTTTGCGCATCTTATGATTGCTGGCCTTGGCAGCGCCGAGGTCGCGGGTGGGATTATGAATCTGCTTTTCATTCTCATGTTTGCTTTCTGCGGGTAAGTGCACCCCAACTGTCACAATCTGTCCTGCTCGGTGTGGATTGAGAATTTTGATTGAAGCGAACTGACGATGATTAAAGTGTTTTGGCTGGCCCGGACGCATTGCCGGGTTTCTGGATCTTCATGTATCGCGTGAACCCGTTTACTTACATTGTCGAGGGTTTCCTCAGCGTTGGGCTTGCCAATGCACCAGTGGTATGCAGCGCTTCCGAGCTGCTCGAGTTCACCGCACCCGCTAATAGCACCTGTGGCGAGTACATGGCTGCGTACATACGGGAGAAGGGTGGCTACGTGGTGGATGCCGGGGCGAATGCTTGCCAGTACTGCGGTATGGCCGATACGAATGCATTTTTGTCGAGCATGAACATGAGTTTCGACAACAGGTGGCGCGATTTTGGTTTCATTTGGGCATTTTGCGTATTCAATATCGTTGCGGCGGCCGTGTTGTACTGGGCCGTAAGGGTTCCGAAGAATGATTTCAAGAGTCGCAGTTCGGGCATGGCCTGAGGTCGGAAAGTCAAAGGATAGAAAGCGTTGGGAAAAGAGAAATGGAAGAAAAAAGCATTCGATCTTGGTGCCTTTTGGCATGGGATATTTAGGGAATAATTTTCACGGTTTGAATAGAGCACCTAAGAAGGGAGTGTAAGGTACATCGAACGATGCAGATAGTCAATTCATGCAGGCCGTAGGAGATTACATTGAAGATAGAATCGTTACACATCGACGCCGTATCAGTATGAGATGGAAGGAGAACAAAAAAAGAAAAATTGATTGTACAACAACCGCAGTGACGCCATCCACCACCTGCTCGCTTGGTTCTAGAAAGTCAGACAAACCAGATCTCTCTACTCCTGCCATCCGGCCATGGAGCTCGCCATCTCCCAGTCTCCGCTCGCGACTTGCCTCCAGCTCGACGAGATCTGGCACTCCTCGGCCTCGAGCTCGTTATCGTCATTCATGCGGAAGATGGTGACGTCGCAGCAGATGGACATGGCCATGAGGCCGACCTCGCAGACGTGGGGCTTGTGCATCTTGAAGCTCATGGGCGGGTCGGCATGCTCCTTGAGCATCTCCTTGAGGGTGGGCTCAGAGCGCTCCGAGTAGACCTCGGCGTCGCCAAAGAGGAGCGGGTTGCACATGATGGCGCCCTTGCCAATGTATTTCAGGGCGCTCTTGGGCTTGTGGCAGAGTGCGCCCCAGAGGAGCGTCTCCATCTCGATTGCTTTGGCGTGGTTGCGGAGCTTGATCGTGTTGAGGGGTCCTTCTTCCTCTGAATCGTCTTCTTCGTCGGTGTCGTAGTGGCGCATTTGTTTGGGCCCGCTCGACTCCTTCTTCTCCTTTTTGGACTTGCTCGACTTCTTCTTCTTCTTCTTTTCGACGCCGTCGGGGGAGCCTTCTTCGGGTTTCTTCTCACGGCGAGCTAGTTGTTTGCCTTCGAGGTTTGCGTCGTCGGCGACGCCTGAGAACTGGGGCTTCTTCTTCTTTTGCTTTTGTTCGGCGCCTGGGCCGTGGGGGGAAGGGTCTGTTGTGAGACCTAAGACAGAAGGCATTTTGGGTGGTTTTGAGATTGGGTGGTTTTGAGATTGGGTGGTGGTGGTGGTGGTGGTGGTGGTTTTTGTTTACTTTGGATACGCTTCTGGATGGATGTTGTATCGCTAGATGCCGCTATGATATGCTTCGGATAATCGTGAACTCGTCAACTCGTTTTGTTCGCTATGTGTGTGCGGGAGATAGTAGGCAGTGGTTGGTGTAAGTGGGTGTGGAAGCTACGGAAACGTAATACTAAGACGGGGACGCAGGCTACTAAAGGCGATGGGAAAGAGGGCATGCATCATACGTCGTCTCTGTGCTTCAGTCACGCGGTCCCTGCGCGGACGACAGACGTTGACGTCCATGTCCCAGAGTTTTTCCCAGTGCTGCGTTCACTTTGCTGGCCCGAATCTTGGAATTTTCCTGCTTTGATGCACCGAGTGTGACGTCAGCCGTCGTGGCCGCACAGCGCGTTGGTGGATGAGAAACAGGGTTTCATCGGTGAGCAGCACGTCGTTCGCGGGGGAAGAGCTGGGAGCTCCCTCTCTCTTTCCACCTTACGCAGTACGTATGCAGCAAATCCCCATTGCCAATTGGGGGCTGGACGGCCACAGCAGCGAGCCCCGCACTGCGATCGATATGACATCAGGTCCTGCGGGATGCAACTGTGCGGCGATCTCTTAGACTCTTTCAGGAGTCCAGAACGCTGACTCAGCCAGGCTTTGCTGGGTAGGGCCAGGGGATATCCCTGATTTGAGGGACGAACAGGGCAGACGATGAGGGAGGAAGATGTCAGTCTATCCTATTGAGACACCGCGCAACAAGATTCTGGGCTTTGGTTGATATGTGTGGTTGAATCTTTTGTTGCCGCATAGCCGCTAACGTTCTTAGCTGGCGACGCATGAAAACCAACGGTCTCCAACATTGAGGTCCTAAACTAAACTAAGCTGTTACCGTGTCTAGCGAGGCCGTTGGACTGAAGCGGGTTTCAGAGCTACTTGACGTTCACCACCTTCGAGAAAAAGCTTCCCCGCACCCGTTTGACAATGGAACAATTTGGGAATGTTTCCAGCGATGGGTTCAGTCACTAATGAGTGTCTTCAGCTCAAAGACCTGCCAATGGACGCGGCTGTGCTCCTATATTTCGGACAAGCCACGGGAGGCGAAAATGACGGATGAACGAGTAGTTGTTAGTGGACACTGTTCTAGCCATCAGAAAACACCAAAGAAAACATTACAGGCATACCATCATTAGTCATAGAGCCAATCTCGGCTCGCTGGGCGTTAAGCAGTCTGTCACTTGGTGATCGCTTCAATGACTTCAAGAGGATGCTCATTGAAAATCTCATGTTGAAATCGAAACTGATTGAAGGCAAGAGGTAAGCCAGTATTTCAAGAGGCCGCCAGTGGAATATTGTCTGTCTTCAGGCAGTTCGCACAGCCCACTCTGCGCTTCCGAAGCTTACGAGCGGCCTTCTCTTCAAGGAATTGAAAGGTTATTCAAGAAGTGACAGCAGCCGACTGGCTCATTCATCCCGAGTAGAAACCCGGGGCTTAGCCGGAGCAGCCCGAACGCAAGTGGGGCGGGCCACGGGATTCTGCCGCGGCAGCAACAACGTATCTGCTGGTCCGATCTGGTGCCGATGCGGGGAATTGCATGGCTTTGCGACTTTACAAGAAGAATTCTGAGAAAGCAGCTCTTGCAACCCGAACAAGGACAGGGCCCAGATATAAACATATTGACTGACCGACTGACGCGACGGCTGGAAACATGGTTTCTTCTGAGTTCACTGATACTACTGCTCGGTGAGTAATGCAAAGGTGCTCAGCGACTCAACTCAACGTCCATGACTAAATCTTCAGGATTGGAAGCCCGCCCCTCTCGCCAGATAGCTGGGATACCCACGTCCATGTTTTCGATGCATCAATAGGGCCATTTGCGCCCGGTAGATCGTACACGCCCGCTCGAGCTACGGCACAGCAGCTCTTGGACTTTAGTTCCAGTCTGACCCAGGCACTACCTCTCAACATCGTACTTGTCCAGCCTTCGCCTTACGGAAGCGATAACAGAGTGCTTTTGCGCTCAATGAAAAGCTTGCGCGAGGGTGGCAGTCGCATCGTCCGAGGGATCGCCGTGGTCGACATCGAGAACATTTCTGACGCAGATCTCATGGGGCTGCATGATGCGGGCGTCCGCGGGTTAAGAATCAATAAGCAAGCAGATGGCAAGTCAACAGATCTCAAAGCACTTAAAGAAACTATTTTGCAGACCGCTTCGAGAATTCAATACCTCCCAGGCTGGAAGATTCAGCTCTTTTGCGCTCCTGCTATGTGGGAAGGTAAAACTCACTTCTAGCCGGAATTCGAGGTAGAGCAAAGACTAAAGAACGACCCAGATTTGTATGAAACGATAATTACTCTTCCGGTCCAAGTTATCGCAGACCATGTCGGCGGGATGCGAGCTCTGTCCAAATTGCAGCTCAACGCAGCAACGAGCAACCTAGACGATCCCACAAAGCAGCCCGGCTTCGAAGCTCTTGTCAGACTCGCAAGGGCCTCAAAGGTCATTGTCAAGCTTTCGGGATTCTATCGACTATCCGACAGGGTTGAATCGGGCTGCGAGGACATGGAACCGATTGTCAAGGCTCTGGTTGAGGCGGTTCCGCATCGCTTGATTTGGGGTAGCGACTGGCCTCATACTGGGGAGGGTAAAGACCGTGTGAATCGAGGCTTTGAAGCGGTGGAGGAGTTTAAAGAGATTGACGACGCCCGGATCATCCAAAACTTGAGAAGCTGGGTAGAGGACGAGAAGCCGTGGATGGGGTTAATGGTTAAGAATCCTGGGGGATTTTATGCTTGAGTATGTTTGAGCAAAGCTGTACTTCTTGAATACGCTGGCGTTGTTGTTGAGCAAACTTTACACAATTCCATCGGATAATGAGTTGGCGGTAGGTAAAGAGATGCATCGGGCGGCATGGTCCTCATTGAAATCAATTGATATTGAAGAAAAAAAACCCACGTGACAATGTTGTACTTCTTTCAAACCTATAGACGAGGTTGTGGAATTCCTAGAGACGTTGTTGGCCCGATAAGCGGACGGCTTAAGTCCGACGGCTCCTCCGCACACGTCAGCGGGCTAGTTTGCAGGGAATTGAGACCTACAAATCATGGGGATAAGCAACTTGCATGGAGCTAAACTAGTGTGATATCAATGAAAGAGGTTATTAGTTACCACCTCATGCTCGACTGTTGTAGAACAACTGGTAAGTGAAGCCATCCTGATAGTCTCTTGTAAAGCGTTTGTCAGCACAGCGTGTCGGCCATGGTACGAGACCTCGAATGGCTTCACAAGAATCTGTCTGATCTCGGTTTAAGCCATGGGCCCGTAAGCACTTTCATCTGGAATATCAAGCCCGAGAAAACACAAGTTGACAACTCGCAGCATCAGCTTTATTGAGAAGACCCATCGCAACGGACTGCCTAAGTCTTACAGCCGTTAAGTCCGATGAAAGGCATGCGCACCGCCCTCCCATCAATGTCGACGGACTCCGAGAACCCGCTGGGGTTACCCATGTTACCCAGTGCCGTGGGTCATCATGGAATTTTGTTGCTCCTCCATCTCGATTGCCGTCGGAAATTATCTAAGATTCCTTGTATATCCAACTAAGCTTGGAGACTCATAAGGTTGAGTAAGTAGAGCATGTCGAAATTTTGATACTATGCTTATGCGCACTATACATGTACGAAGTACGCATCAAGCCATCGCTGTGTTGCCACCCTGATGGCAGGCTTGTATTGTCTCAAAGTGCCGAGCTCGAGATTGATCAACTACTAAGACGTTTCCACTTGCTCGCTTCCGGGTTCGAGGTGGGCTCGGATCTAGTGGGATGGCGATCCACGCCAGGGACTCTGCAGCTGGGCCCCGCGAAGTGCCGCGTTGCATCCCAAGATCCGTACTACCTGCGGACGAATATCGACCCGCATCTGCCCATTTCCAGGATTTCAATGTCGAGGTCCAGAATGTCTTCCAACGTCATGGTGAAAGCACGGAGCACAAGCGGCCCCGATGGTAGACAAGTATGATTCTTGCCGCTTGGCAATGAAACCCTGCATGCGTTCTCGGACTTTGTTCCTATACCCGGGTTGCAGAGTTTCTACTCACCGCTTGGAGCTACTCCACGGGCGGCTTCACATGGCAAAGGTTGATATAAAGGCGAGCATGTTGAACGCAGTTTAATTTCTCTCGTTGTACTACTTCATCCAAAACAAGAAAGGCACTAGTCCATCATACCGTTATTAGCTCAACCAAAACCTCCCCCATCAGGTACTATTGTGCCCCACAGTTTGAACTCATCTCACGATGTCCGGCCTTCAAACCCTCTTCGCGCCGGCTCCCGAGCCCAAGACTGAGCTCGGTCGATACCGCGTTCTGTCCACCACCGCAGGTGTCAGGGTCTCCCCCCTCTGCCTGGGTGCAATGTCCATCGGCTCCGCATGGTCGTCCTTCATGGGTTCCATGGAGAAGGAAGACTCGTTCAAGCTTCTCGACGCATTTGTCGATGCCGGCGGCAACTTCATCGACACCGCCAACAACTACCAAAATGAGGAGTCCGAGGAGATTCTGGGAGAGTGGATGACGGACAGGAAGAACCGGGACACCATGTTCATTGCGACCAAGTTCACGACGCAGTACCGCAAACAGGCGCTCGGACCCGGCAAATGTGTCAATTATTCTGGCAATCACAAGAAGTCGCTGCACCTCTCGGTCCGGGATTCCCTTAGAAAGCTGCAGACGGACTACATTGACCTGCTCTACATCCACTGGTGGGATTGGACGACCTCTGTCGAGGAGCTGATGGACTCGCTCCACATTCTGGTCGAGCAGGGTAAGGTCCTGTACCTCGGTGTTTCTGATACACCCGCTTGGGTCGTTTCCGCTGCGAACACCTACGCCAAGGCGCATGGAAAGACCCAGTTCTCCGTCTACCAGGGTCGCTGGAACGTTCTCATCCGCGACATGGAGCGGGACATCATCCCTATGGCTCGCCACTTTGGCATGGCCCTCTGCCCCTGGGATGTCCTCGGCGGCGGTAAGCTGCAGTCTAAGAAGCAGCTCGAGGAGCGCAAGAAGGCTGGCGAGGGCCTACGTGCCATGTTTGGAGGGGACCAATCCGAGGATCAACGCAAGGCCAGTGAGGTCCTTGAGGAAGTTGCCAAGGAGCATGGCATTGAGAGCATTCAACAGATCGCCTTAGCGTATGTTATGCAGAAGGCGCGCTACGTTTTCCCGATTGTTGGCGGTCGCAAGGTGGAGCATCTGCAAGACAATATTAAAGCATTGAGCATTCACCTCACCGGTGAGCAGATCAAGAAGATTGAGAGCTTCAAGGAGTTTGATATTGGGTTCCCGATGAACTTCATCCTTGAGGATCCCAGAGAGGGTGGCGCAACGGCACCATTGGTAGCTGCTTCCGCACCCATGGCGTGGCAGTCTCAGGGTAAGCCGATTGGGCACGAGTAGGAATAGCACCTTGAAAGTTTATGCAGTTGAAACATTGAGATCAATAATCGTACGGTTCATCAAGAACTGAGTGTTCCTTGTTCATTAGCATTATCTTGATATCATCTGGATCCTCCGTTCGTGTATGTTGTCTCGTCAGATCATAAGTCTCAGCAATCAGCTAAGCTATCACTCTTCCGTCTGACCACTCAGGGCCTCATTTCTTCCGTATATCCGGTGTTTTGGATATCAATGTCTTCTGCGAGTCCACAGTCGAGCCTGATGATGTGGAAGAGGCACCAGCAGTAGACATTGATGCGCCTGACGAGACGATAGGAATCTTGTCTTCCTCAGGTTGCGCCACAGGTCTTCCTGATGCTCTCTCCGATCTCCTAACGGTGCTCCGAACCCTCATTTTGATAGCTTCGGGAAGATACTTAGTCTTGATTGCTGTGTCACGCAGCAGAACACGCAATACGGGGATGGTCGACGCCATGATCGTAATGGCTGTCTCAGCCCCGGCCCAAACGGCTAACTCCGCTCCCCCATCTGTAACTTGCATTAGATGAGTACTGATCATATGATAAGTGTCTTCACTTACGAGAAAAATCACCAGTGGTATCATTTACTGAACGCATGTATGATGCTTTGACAAACGCTGCTATTCCGGCCCTGTACCAAGTGCGTCAGACTCAGATTATACATCGTCATCATCATGAGTAACTTACAACATTCCCATACTCAAAGCCACAGACACACCGATCTTCTCCTTTTTGCTCAGAGTAAGACCCGATGACTCCTCGGCCGGCCTAGGCCGCATGAGAATGAGCCATGGGATGATCGACAAGGCGATATCGAGAAGGCCAGAATATACTAGTCAAAGTTTAGCATAACTCAGGAAGACTTGCGTAGACCATAGTGGATATTGTCTTACCACTAACGAAGATTCCGAATGAAACAACCCACTTGAGATCGTAGCAGGTTCCGTCGGCAAAAGGCTTCCATCTCTTCTCCAGCGGTACACACCCAATCCAAAATGATAAAGAAGAGAACGCAAAGAGAACATTCATAGAAATGATGGAAAACCACACAAAGGCCTTCTTCCACCCATCGCACATTCTTAATAGCGATATAGCAAATGCAGTCTTGCTCCAGACTTGACCGACAAATGAGCACGTGATGGAAGATAGGCCAACGATGGCTAATACTGTAATGTTGTCGACGGTAATAGGGAAGTCGGGTCGACCAAATCGGGATTTGATGATGAACTCATTAAGGGCCGCATCTGATGCTAGGACCAGCTATGAGGCAACTGTCAACACTAGAACAAGGATAGAGTTCTGCAAGAAATGGGAGTTCTTACCCAGGAGGCAATCAGGAGAATGTCCTCGATTCGGATCTTTGTATACGTGTAGGATATCTTGCAGTATATCCTCAATCCAAGGAAAACTGCTGAGAGAACGACTAGTGTCCACAGGACCGTTTGGATGTTCTCGGCTTGGGCGGTATCGTCTGCTCGAATATTGAGGACCAACAGCGTCGTATCCAACTCGGATCTTGTCAAGTATGTCTGATTGGCAGCTCTGGCCACAGAGCCCAGCTCTTTGATCTGACTTCTTGAACAGTGCTCACATCCTGGCGGAGGCACTACGGCCATATTCGATGTTCCGATATAGATGTCGGTTGCAGGAGGGACAGCGACACCTTCATGGCATGGACCGTCAGCACATGTCCGATGTATCTGACAGCGCGGAACGTTGGATCTTATAAGATCGACTGAATATGAAGCGTCGTATACGAAGAACACACCTGCCCTCTCATCCTTCAAGCGACAGGCAAGTGGCGCCGTTTCATTATGTATATGAGCTCCACGTGGAGACCAGTGGGCCACGAGAAGAACTGACAAGCTTCTGCCAGGATGACCATGACTGATTTAAGCCCTGGATTCGAAAGCTTCGCATCGCAGCATCGAGCGGACACACGCGCGTCCGATTAAGATCCACAGTCCGTTTGCTGTTGCTGCTACAAAATAGAGAGGCGAAGCCCGGACCAACATCTCTCATTTCGAGATATTGAGGCTCCGTGCGCCGGGGGGGTTGGAAAAATGAATGGAAGACCACCGAAAAAGCCTCGCTCTCATAGGACGGCACCTCTCCTCGGCGCACCCTACGAGGAATTCCTTGTGCCAAGACAAAAGCGGCTCTTGGGCCTCTCCTTCGTCTTGACTTTTCTCCCTCCTGCCGGCGTACTCGCGGGCACGGCGATGTGGAGACGCAAGTTTCCTCTTTCTCATCTCTCGCTCACCTCGGGCCGCCTACTGGCTCAGCGAACGGGCTATTTGAGTTGTCACCACTGTCACA